TGTAAAACGTCTTTTTTGTGACATCTTAATGACGTTTCTGTATAACGTCTTAAAAACGTATTATTGACGTTTATAGACGTCATAAAACGTCGTTAAGTTGTCTAAAATGTCGTCATCGATCTGTGACTTTAGACTATCATTTTGACGATATTCTCAAGATATTTTTGATCATTATTTGGTTATTATTGATCCTGAACTTACTTAGATTTGGGTGCCGTTTTGACGTAAGTCTGCTACCTAGGAGAGGTCTCAGGCTCGAATCTCAGCAATGCCTATACAGCACAGAAGCTTGCAGCAACATTGCTACAACGTTGCAAGATTGCATATTGCAGTGCAATGTTGCAGAGACTTAAATATTTTAACAAAAAATTTTTATATTCCTATATACTTTACTCAATTCATCATAATAATTTACTATTTGTTTTACTAACCACTTTCATTTTCTGTTGCAGCTTGTACATGGAATTCTAATTGCGAGGAATTATGACGAACACATTTTGATGCGAAATCAGGATCTGTAATAACAATTACTTTATATATATATATATATATATATCTGTATACTTCTTTGAATATAAATTACATTATACTGTATTCAGCGAAAATAATTGATTTAATTAAATATTTAATTATTAAACTTACCATTTTCTATTCTTCTGTGAACATCTTTAGTTTCCGTTATGTTATATACGACACCATCAATTATGTATTGTTCTTCTATAAATGACATGTTCTCTCTACAAAAATAATTTTGTTATATTAAAAGTCCACTCATAAAAAATATTATACGGAACATATCTCACACACCACACACACATTTAGGTTAGATATTAAGTTATAAAAAATTTATACATATAAATAGTGTTTAACTACTTAATACATTAATTTTTTAATTACTTGTAAAAAATAATAATTTTTTAATCAAGACACAACAATTAGTAATGCATAAAATTTATCTTATTTTTAATCCTTATGGATATTCGCAGGTTACATATGCAGACGTAAGATGACGATCAACCAATCAAGGAGCTGATCGTCATCTTGCGTCTGCGTTTACGGTCTGCGTCTTGCGTTCTGCAAGCTATATAAGCCGGGCTTAAAGTGTGCGGAATGAGCGATAGAAAACTACGCTCATGAAAACGACGAGCGCTTCCTGTGAGCAGCTTAGGGAGTATTTACATCCAGTAGATAAATTTAGAGTGCTCACTGAATGCTCAATAATTCTTGTACTATTTGATGCATTCATTAAGTGAGCGGAGTGAGCGGTGAAAACTACGCTCACGAAAATGGCGACCGCTCACTGTGAGCAGCTTAAGGAGCGGTTGCATCCAGTAGATAAATCTAGGGTATTCACTGAGCGCTTACGTTACTGGATGCACCCATTCAGTTTTCTTTCGCGCGCGAATGTTCTCAGATTTCACTCAGGGGTACGGAAGTGATACGTACGCTTTTCTATCGCGTGCGTACATTCTCAGGTTTGACTGAAATGATACGTACGCTTTTGTATCGCGCGCGTATTTACTCAGAATGTACTCAGTCGATCGCAGTACATATGAGAATATTCTGAGATGATCGCAATATACGCATTACGATCTACTCAGAACGTCCCCGTGCTGTTAGGGCTTGGCTTCTTTTTTTACTTTTTTTTTGTGAAAAAGTAATTTTGGATTTATATCACATCTTTTTTACAAAATAATATTAAACATTGAAAACGAGTTTCTTTGTTAATAACTATATACGTTGAACTTGGACATTATAAATTTATTTATAACGATTCTTTTTTGTAAAGTTTATATATATATATATATATATATATATATATATGATGTAGCATTACTGTTTGTAAATGTTTCACAGATAGCATGATGAATTCTTTAAGTGTTTCTAGAGTTTTCTCCTTTCTGACCTCAATCTGAGCACAAATTGCTATGAAAATATAATACAAATGATATCATGTGCTGTATAGGTACTGAAAATAAAGGAAAATGAAAAAAATATAAACAAAAGGAGAATTCGTAAGTTTTTTAGGAATACTTTTTAAATAAAAGTTAGGGTTTGGAGGAAACATAAGGTACCCATATAACATATGATATTATTTGTACATGCTATTTTCATATAAATCTGTGCTCAGATTGACATCAGAAAGGAGTAAACTTTAGGAAGACTTAAAGAATTCATCGTGCTATCTGAGAAACATCAACAAACAATAATGCTACATTAATATTATAATTTTTCACTTAACAGTATGAGTGTTACATATAACACATGTATGTAATAGTTATTAAGATCAAAGTTATAATTTCCTACTTAAGAATGTAACTGTTACATAAAACGCATTATATTGTATTTACATTATTGAATGGGAAATTATAACATTGATGTTATGTTACTGTTAGTTGGTGTTTACTGGGTTTGTACATCTTTATCTGTGCATAAATATTATTATTGAATTCATAAATAAAGTATACATCTATGTTCACTCTTTGATAACATTACCTTAACACTTTTCTATATAATAATATAAGAGAAACTGAGTAATGATAGGAAATTATAACATTAATGTTATGTTACTGATAGTTTGTATTTACCGGAAGAATATTCAATAAACACCAACTTTAAAGGTAATGATACATCAATTCATACATACACACACACACACACATACACATTATGTAGTATTACTGTGCTTGTAAATGTTTCCCAGATAGTTCATAGTTTTTTTTTATCGTCTTATCATTTATCTTCATTTTTTCAGTCTTCTCTTCATTTCTTCTCACACATTCTTTCCTTTCTCTCCTTTTCTTTTCTTCTCTTCTTTCCCTTCCTCTTTTATCTCCTTATTACTTAATTTAGCTATAAAAAGTAGAAACGATACTAAGTATTCAAGTAACGGTAACAACGTATTTTTTTGAATAACGAGTAATAATAATGAATTACTTTTAAAAAGTAACCTTTTCTATTTTACTATCTTGCATATCTCTATTTTCTATCTTCTTGCTATGTTTCTATTTTTTGTTCCTTATCTGTCTGTGTAATTTCTTCTTTCCTTATAGTTTCTCTTTTTCTTCTCACTTTCTGTAATTTCTTTCTTTCATGCTTTCTTCTTACCCTGTTTAAAAATAATAAAAATACTAACAACATAAAGAATATCCTTGTTCTATATCATCCCAGCAAACATAATGTTACATGTAACGTTACATGTTAGTTGCAATTTCCTACTCAGCAATATAACTGTTATATAACATGCATGTTATATAACAATTATATTGCTGAGTAGTAAATTGTAACTAACATGTACATTACATGTAACATTGTATTTGCTGGGATTATAAGCTATCCTATATTATATAAAGCAATACTTATTTATTACTTATTGTTATGGTAGACAAAAAAATTAATTTATTTACTTATTTATTATCTGTATTTTATTTATTTATTTTCTTTATTTATTTATTTATTATTTATTTATTTATTATCTCGCTCTCTTAAGGTTTTTTTTACCGTCTTACTATTTATCTTCATTTTTTCTGTCTCCTCTTCATTTCTTCTCGCATATTCTTTCTTTTCTCTTTTTCTTTTCTTCTCCTTTTCTTTTCCTTCTCCTTTTATCTCCTTATTATTTAATTTAGCTATAAAAAGTAAAGACGACACAAAGTATTCAAATTTTACATCATTATATGTTTTTATAAATTCTATATAATAATACTTATCTGATATTATCCTTGTTAACTCCAACATAGTTTTTCTTCAAAATTATCACGGCAAACACACTTTGAAACTTTTAAGACTATTATACATTAAAAATATAACCTTGTTATAATTCCATTCTCATACACGCGAACTGTTGTTGTTGTTGTTACTATGGTCGTGAAACTAGTTCATTGACCATCCAAGTAAAACATAAATCACAAACAGCAATATAAAATTCCAATCTTGCAACAATAATTAGTAATTATTGTGCAACGTAATTAGTTCCATCCAAATTATATCCTTTTATTAATCCTCTGAAAGAAAAGAGATAACTCCTTGAAAGCACCTTCGTTGCTACTAAACACTATGGCTGCGTTCCGAAATTCACTGCCAGTAGTGAAAACCGGGTGTATATCAGTTGGACACCGGGCAATTGGACACAGTCCAATCACAAGTCGCTGTTCCAAGGGACCCTACAAATGTCTCTAATCACACGGTGCTGTGATTGGCTGTGTCCAATGCACTGTGTCCAAATGCACCGCTCCCATGAAAACCTATAGTTTATGTCACGTATACTATAGATGTTCAGTACTGGCAGTGAATTTCGGAACGCAGCCTATATCATCGAGAATGATAGGTTTAATTCTCCAGACGTTGCGTAGACCAATCCTCAGTAAGTCCTCCCGCTGATTACGCGAGCAATTTAAAATTACATGTTCAGAAATCTCTGGCAGACCACAATCACAAAGCGGTAGGTCACAGATATTTTTATCATATAAATGGTGCGCTACTTGTGTATGATGAATCCGCAAACGTGATACTATAATTATAATTTCTCTATTCAGATGAGCATGTTGTAAAGTAAATATAGTATAGGGATTCTAACCCAGGTCATCCGAGGGGGTGAGGGGCGGGAGTACCGCGGGCGGGGGTATGACGTCACGTAGGGGGGGG